TTTACATTCATAAATCCAGCCAACTAATCCAGTTAGCGTGCTGGTAGTAGCCTCATTTGAGTTTGGAGCGACACCTTCTGGTATGAAGTAGAGTTGCAGCCCTTGCAGCCCGCCCCTCTCATGAAATACGGTCCATCAAGAATCTGACTGATTCCTAACCTATGGTATCTGGTGTGAACGATAGGGTGTGATGATGGGAAAGAGTGGGGTGTGTTGATGGAAAAGAGTGTGGTGGGATTAGTGTTCCTGATATTCTCATTTTGCTTCCAGGTACGATTTCCTTCTGCTCATTGCTAATTAACCAAACTCTAAATATATTTTTGTTTCATGATTTTTAATAGAACTTTAATGCAGGACAGAACACTTTTTTTTTACATATCACATACAAATCAGTATCATAGCACTGGGAGTACACATTTTTGGAACGCTAATGCATCATAAAAAACAAAGACTTCTCTTTATTAAGCTACTGTACATATTGTGGATTCGCCTGAATTGAGAAAGTAACTGCATGAGCGGCAACAGTAAATATATTAGGTCTCAGAATGTGAAGACAGGCTAATTTGCTCGGCCACTTGTGCATCATCAGTGTTGGAGAGCTGTGACAATGTCAGGGAGCCAGCCTCGTTTCTCCTCCTTAGGCAAATGGAAATGCAGATTGTAATGATTATGGACACCATTACCAGTGCAGCTGGCAGGATAGACAGATATACTCTGTCTGCTCCAGACTCAGGTACCCAGCTGACCTCCAGCTTGTTGTCCAGACTGAGATGGGAGGCAGTACAGGTGTAGTTGTGTGTCTCTCTCAGTTCCTCTGTACTGACCTCCAGAGTCTTCCTCAGCTGGTACGTGCCGTCTCCATTGGGAAGCAGCTGCCCCCCAGTCAGCTCCTGTTCTGCTATTGGCTGGCCGTCTCTCAGCAGGGTCAGGTTGATGTGGCGGGGGTAGAAACCAAACGCCAGGCAGCTCATCTGCTGGACCCCTCCAGACATGGCTTTCTGTATGAGCCTGACTCTGGGACGCACTTTACGCATTATAAATGTCTTCTCTTTCTCCAGGTACATTTTTAATGTTTCCATGCAAATTGTCAGGTAAATAGTCCGATAAAGGCCTTTTACATATGTTTGATGCACCTCACTCCATGGCGACAGCAGATTTCCAGAATTGTATGAATAATGTGTCATGTTGTAATATATTGTTAAATCTGCATAAATTCCATTGAAAATGTCCCTAGATACGATAAGTGCCGGTTCGCCATTGTCCGACATCTCACACCCAGCCAGCCTCTGTTGAACATGAATACCTTCTGTGGAATTGAAGCGCTTCAGCTCGGACGATCTCTCTTTCAAGCTGAGCGACATGGCTCCAAATATATAAGCTGCTTGATAAGTTTCTTCAACCACTGTTTCCTCTGAGGCATTATATCCCTTGTGGATATAGTGTTTAATGTTGGAGTCAAAGTAACCAACTTGAATATCATCTAGCATCAACACAACGGTAAACTCAGGGAAAGGTGTCTCTCCTGAGATATATGTTACAAATGCCCACAGAGAATGGGATCCTGAACCTGAGAGAGGGTGAAAACAAGATCAGTGAATATTTTCACAATGGTTATGTCTGAAAAGCCTGTAGTATAGCCCATAGTCTACCGTATATAGGCTGTACTACAAGAAAGTCCTATTTATCTTGATGTTCCTAAGAGTTTTGACTCGTGACTTTGACACTGTCCTTTCCCTTCCTATAGGGTGCTGTTATTTGTGTTATAAATATTGATCCTAGTAGCAGATTTATAACAGATGTAATTATTTATGTTGTAAATATTGATCGTAGTAGCAGATTTATAACAGATTTAATTATTTATGTTATAAATATTGATCCTAGTAGCAGATTTATAATTAAATCTGATAAATGACAGTAAAAAATCCATCTTACCTGCGTTTACAATGGTGTAAAACAAAAGAACTAACAAAAAGACACACAGTTTGCCCATGGTTGTCACTACTTTTCCAGTACCCTCGTGTGCTTCTAGGCTCTCAAATAAACCTTGCACACTTTCACTTTCTTGGTGAATGCCTATGATGACCTTTGAACAGTCTGCAATGTAAAAAAGGGATTTCAAAGATAGATGCATGTCTGCTGTTTATGGCTGTTTACTGTGCCAAGCTATTCTTTTGCTCAAATCAGGATGCTGTCTCATTTAGCAAAAACTCTCCTGTCTCAGCCAAGATGGCGCCAACAGACACGGTCGCCCTGTTGCTAGGTCCTAGCCAACTTTGCAGTATTTTATATAATATCAAATCAAATGTTGTTTGTCACATGCACCGAATACAACAGGTGTGACCCTTACCGTGAAATGTTTACTTACAAGCCATTAACCAACAATGCAGTTTTAAGAAAATAGAGTTAAGAAAATATTTGCTAAATAAACTAAAGTAAAAAAAAGTAACACAATAAAATAACAATAACGAGGCTACATACTGAATAATCCTGAATTTAAAAT